CCTTCACAAGTGTTGGCATTGTTTGAACGGGTCGCCGCTTACGATATTTGCTGGCGACACCGCCAAGAACATTTGTTGCAGTTCATTGTTTCTGCAGGAGATTTGCGAACTACCGAAGAAGAGCACATTGAGACTGTCATTTCCAGTGACACCGACTCAGGACTTCCACCTACCCTGACGACTGCACTGGTGACGACAGGAGACCTTCAGGTGGAGCCAGGCCGTTTGCCGCCCGCTTTCTACAAGGAGCTGGTCGGCTGGCTGCGCCGCAGCGGAGGTCCTGAGAGCCGTAGAACCGTTTGTAGCTTTCTCGAATTCGTTTTTCTTTATGCTTTCGTTGACTCCGGCTTGTTTCCCTTTGAAGAAGTTGGAGGCCGCAGAGTCATGAGGCAGGTACAGGACCTTTTTGTTCGACCGACGGTCACCACCATGGTCGATATGGTTAGGGTTGCTCTTACCGGTCTCTGTCGTCAGTTGGACGTCGATTTTGTTCGGGTTCCCTCGGGTGTTTTGCTTGGTCTTGGTATCCATACCCCTATGTTTGGTATTCCTATCGATTTGAACCCTTCTCATCTCGACCTTGGTCGTCGGCTTTTGCGGAGATGGACATCATCTCGACCCATTAGGAGGGCGGCTGACCTTGCTCGCCCCTTTTCAGAGACTTGAGCCGCCTCGCGGCCGGACACGCAGCTCGCGGCGCCGCTCACGCCGCGCCCGAGCGACCGAACGTCAGAGATATCCTCGAGGAGATTCAACTGCTTGCCGAGCGAGGCGGAGGGTCGGTACGAGAGAACCCTTGGCGCAGCCTACATTGGTGGGGGTCCACCGAGTGCTCTATGATGGACACCGGCTGCTGGAAGGACAAACGCTATGATGCATGCTGCCTCGGAGGAGCTCGTTGCAAGGCACAGTGCTTACGCCACAATATCGATGAGATCGATCAGTGGCCGCCACTTACCTGCCACCATTCTCATGCACCTCATGAGTGGACTCCTTACCTTCAGGACGGCCGGACGATCTATCCATCCAAAGAGGAAGCCGAGTATACGGCTGTCTTGGCCTTCGCTATTGCGGTCGCAGCATCGTGGTGGGCCGGGCGCGTGGGTCGCGCCAAGTTGCATGTTCCACGGCTGCCGCAATTCGAATGTGTCGGAGCCCGCGAACATTGGCTGGACCTGGACCCCCGGGCATTACGGGAATGGGCGATGGCGCCCCTCGCCCTGGGGCTGGGCTTGTATCCACCAGATCCGAGTGAAGCGGCCCGGATCCCCCGTCGGGCTCAGGTGGATGACGTCCTCATCGAGAAAGGCAAGTTGCCGCCCAATCATGTCTACGTAGGCCAGGGCCGCGGCTCTCACCGTCTTGCGAAGACCAAGTGGGCATCCCCGGTTATCCCTGGCTTGAACAGTCAGTCCAATGATTGGTTGTGGCACTACGTCGCCTACCTCTATGAGTCCGGCCTGGTGAACAACCTCTATGAACTGCAGGGCAAAGTGCTGGTCTGCGACTGTCCTTTCTGTGATCCTTGTGAAGCGGACGTGCTTGCAGGCCTGTGTTTTGAGACGAGCCAGCCACAAGGCCGTCACACAATGTATCGCTTCAGTCGGGGGGGACCCCGCCAGCCCGCCAAGTTCTTGTTACGGGTCTGCTCAGCACAGTGCAAGGCCTCCCAACGAGCCCTACACGTTGGTGGAGCCAGGAAGCCCTGATCCTCGCTTTTCGCAAGTTGTACCCAGCTCACTTCTTCACAAATTTCCAGTTCCCGATGGTCGAGGATCTTGTCAATGCTGCCCCGTTCAATGCATTCATTTCCTGTGTGGCTGCACAACAGGCACTACGAGACCGATGGGCCCTTGGGCCCGCACTTGGCCGACGCTCAAGTCCGCCAGACTCTCCGCACTGCCGAAGGTCAGCAAGTGGGTGCACTGAACCAGCGTGCAGCACTTCCTCCACTGCTATCCTATGACCTCAACCCTGATGAGCACTTCGCCCAAGCGTTGGCGCGAGGCCGAGATTTGCTACCTACCGAGTTACCAGCAGTGCTGGATCTGGACCTGGCCTTTGCTGCAGACTGCCACGCTTACTACCGAGGCCGTCTACGAGATCTTCGCCGCACAGCAGTGGGGGCACTGCGGGAGCTCCATCGGCGTTGGTGTGCCGTAGGACGACATCTGCGGCAATTTCAACCTATCGCCTTAACAGGCTACCACGGCCACTCGCGGCCTCGGCTTCGTTGCACTGTTGATTTTGTTGACTTCATGGCCTGATGTCACATATCCATTCGGGCTTATTGAAGGCCTCCCAGCGGTGGGCTACGCGCCGTGCTACGGAGTCTTTCCATCTCAGCCTGCTGAACGCATTACCCTCACAGGGGTACTGTCAGGATGCGAGGCGCACAATTACCAGATCTTGTCTACCCTTAAGCCGGGCAAAGATGATCAGTTCTTGCTGGAACAGTCTACTAAGGATGCAGCACGGGGATTCTGTACCCCACCGTTGACCCTGGCACAGTTGCGTCAGCAGCTGCATGGGCAGCCGTATCGTCTGATCCCACGCTGTGTGATTACCCAATCCTCGGGTAAGCAGCGTATCATCGACAATGCTGATGCTGGAGGACAAACCCTGCGGTCGTCCGATGCCAATAAACTGGTACTGTGCTCGCCCCTCAGACCGGCCCAACACATCAGCCAAGTCCTACGCCATATGAGCCCACCCGAGCTAGCCCAAGCAGCGGCTACAGACACCTGGGAGTCAGGTGGGGAAGATTGGCCGGATGCCTATCGGCACAGTCCTATGGGGGTCAACGAAACGCGGGGATGCGTGGTCACTTTCTGGCATCATGAATGGGCAGCCCCAGCCTTCCAAGTCTATGCTGGTCTGTTGTTTGGTCTTCCTCTGGCCGTGACCTCATTCAATCGATACAGTCGGCTTGTGGAAGCCCTTGGGCGGCGTTTGTGCTACGTCTTAGTCTCGCTCTACTTTGATGATGCATCCATTCAAGACTGGTCTTCGAGCCGGGGGTCGGCTCAATGGGCATTTGGCGTCTTAAACCAACTCCTGGGCACCCCCTTTGCGGAGGAGAAGCGTCAAGCCATGAACCCTAAGGGATTATTCCTAGGCCTGGACCATGATCTTTCTGCCGCTCTGTCAGGGGGCTTTGTCTCCTTTTGGACGAGGGAACGCCTGGAATCCAAGTTGAAGGCCATTATCCATGAATGCCGTGAGACACAAACTCTCAAGCCCGGCGTTGCAGCCAAGCTGTACGGCTTAGCCAACTTCTTCGAACAGGGCGTCTACGGACGGATTGGATGCGGAGGTCTCCATGCCATTAAGGAACGTCAACTTGTCCGGGGTGATCAGCTGACTCCCGCCATTGAACAATGCTTCCAAATTCTCGAAGCCGTGATCTCTATCCATCCAGAGCGGGAACTTGATGTCTGGCCACGACACCATGAGCGCTTCGTTGCAGCGTCCGATGCTGCCTTGGAGACCCCAGGTGAAGGCACGGGTGGTTTTCTCCTCGTCTTCTTCCACGAGGACGTAGAGCTTCGGCTTGGGTTTGTGTCCCACCTCCCCTTGTCCATCTATGACCTTTGGACTCCGGGGGATGCCAAGATAGCGCAGCTCGAGCTCTTGCAAGTTCTCATTGCGTTGACTACCACACCTGAGCGATTCCGCAATCGCCGCGGCACATGGTACATCGACAACACTGCTGCTTTGATGGCGCTCATCAAAGGCAGATCAGACAGTCCTGACCTCGAACATATGAGCCACATGATTCATATTCTTTTGTTTTCACTTAGATGCTGGATTTACTTTGAGTGGATCCCCTCCAAAAGTAATTGGAGTGACGCGATTTCCCGTGAGGGACATGCGGATAGATGGCACCACGACCAGGGTTTCACTAGTCGAGTGGCCACATTTTTCGAACCACTCTGGTATTTTCCCTTTTCCGTCACTCTGCGAGTCGGTCTCTTTCTTTAAAGTGCGTTGGGAGAAATGCATTGGGTAGATACATCGCTATGGATACGTCTGGGTGGACGAGTCTCCATAGATGGGTATCTAAGCTTCATCCAGGAATGGATGTGTGGCTATGAACACTGCTCACACTTTGTGAGTTTCCAACGCAACAACGTCAGGGCGACGTGCAGAGACCATAACTGCAGAGAGTGTCAGCGAAAAAGGGG